GATAGGCCAGTCACGGTCAGTGCTGGCTTTGGGGGATGCGTGGTGCATGGAACCTTGAAAAATGCAGAACGTTAGGATGCAAGAGGGAATTTCATATGCTTATGATATGATGGCAGTTAAAAATGTGAAACAGACGGAAGAGGGACAAGGAATTACTCTGGAACAAGTAAATGAAAAACTTAAGGGTCAAGTAGTTAATAATACTCTTAATGGTATTATTAGTATTAGCCTACAGTGGAATGCAAGGACTTTAATGACAAATGGGCAAGAGTCTAAAAGGGTAATAGAAGATAAGGAATATAAACCTCATGTTATATGTATACAAGAGACCTGGGGTGTATTCCAGAAAGCACGGTTAACTTACCGTCAGCTAAACCCTGAACTTTCGGTTCATTAACCCCAAACCTTGCTTACTCGAGGTATGTGGTTCCAAAAACGCGTCCGGGAGTAAGTTCATTCAACTCCGAGTATGTTCCTGGTTAAGACTCAAGACATTCTCAACAGAGCGACGAATCGACGAGTCGCTATGGAAACGGACGCTAAGAAGAAGCGCCATGCTGTTTCTTTCTTTCTTCTTTTGTTCAATGGTCGTTTACATGCTTAGTGCATATCGCCACCTAATTGATGGTTGTGCAATAATTTTTCTTTTTTTCCGTTTAATCTTTAATCCTTGCGAATATGAATTATATTGTTTATTTGATGATAATTATATATTAAGTCATATCAGATATGTATTTTTTATTATAGAAATACATTATAGAAAATGCCGATCTATGTGTGAGATTATAATATAAAATGTAATAAATATATATATACTGTATATACACTGAACAAAATTATAAATGCAACACTTTTGTTTTTGCCCCCATTTTTCATGAGCTGAACTCAAAGATCTAAGACTTTTTCTATGTACACAAAAGGCCTATTTCTCTCAAATATTGTTCACAAATCTGTCTAAACGGGCAACAGCTCTGGTGGACATTCCTGCAGTCAGCATGCCAATTGCACGCTCCCTCAAAACTTGCGACATCTGTGGCATTGTGCTGTGTGATAAAACTGCACATTTTAGAGTGGCCTTTTATTGTGGCCAGCCTAAGGCACACCTGTGCAATAATCATGCTGTCTAATCAGCATCTTGATATGCCACACCTGTGAGGTGGATGGATTATCTCTGCAAAGGAGAAGTGAACAAGACAGATTTGTGAACAATATTTGAGAGAAATAGGCCTTTTGTGTACATAGAAAAAGTCTTAGATCTTTGAGTTCAGCTCATGAAAAATGGGGGCAAAAACAAAAGTGTTGCATTTATAGTTTTGTTCAGTGTATATATAGTTGTATATGTTAATTATATATATATATATATTACATAACTATATTGTAATATGCTCGTCAGGAGGTCACGCGTGCACTGATGGCTCTGAAGTGAACAAACCCTGGAACATAACCTGCTCCGGAGCAGGTTATCTTCAGAGAGCAAGTTACTATGGTTACTTACATACCCTGAAAGTAACCTACGATTTTGGAACCGAAAGCTGAGGTTATCTGCTCTCTTATCCTCAAACATACCCGGGTATGTCACATAACCTGCTTTCTGGAATACACCCCAGGTTGAAACCTTATTTAGACTTTGTGATACAAGGATATACAGGTACGAGGGATAGACAGACAGGTCATGGTGGAGGGGTGGCTATATTTTTTAAAAATGGAAATTACATATAGGGTTATAGAATTGAGTGCTGAATAAGAATCAATTACAGTAGAGGTATTTTTAAGAGAACAGAGTGTTAAGGTAATTAACTTTATAATCCTCGTAACAGGTTAAGTATTGAAGTGTTAGAAAATGGGAATGGGTAATCAAAAAGTGATATGGTGTGGTGGTTTTAACCCATATATTATGGGGAAGCGGTAATACTGATCATAATGGTAAGATAATAGAAGAAATGCTTGATTTGAAGGTCTGATATGCAGAGGTGGAAAGTAATAAAGTAATTTTTACTCTGAGTAAATTTTAAACAAGCTACTTTTTACTTTTACTTCAGTAGATTTTTAGACTGGTACTTTTACTTGTACTTAAGTAAAATTTCATTAATGTAATGGTACTTTTACTTGCGTATAATATTTTCGTAGGCATGAATGTTTGTGAAATTATAGAGCAGGGGTGTCCAATCCTGCTCCTGGAGGGCCACTGTCCTGCAGAGTTTAGCTCATACACCAATAAAACACACCTTTACCAGCAAATCAAGGTCTTACTAATTATACTAGAAACTTCCAGGCAGATGTGTTGAGACAAATTGGAGCTAAACTCTGCAGGACAGTGGCCCTCCAGGACCGATTTTGGATTTTGGACACCCCTGTTATAGAGGATAGGATATGTAGATGGGAATTTAAAATGGCAAATTGGCAAATTATGTGAAGTATTGTATAGTACAGCTGAAGAAATTATTCAAAAAAGTAAAGGAATAAAAAGGAAGAAATCAGTTCCATATTGGAAAGAATTATGTAGCAAAGCAATTCAAGAAATAAGGCTTTTAAAAAGGTTAGGAAGACATACATATTTTATAACTTCATTCTATATTAAAAAAAAGCACAAGTCAATGTGAGAAGGGTAATAAGAGCTGCTAAAAAGAACTACTGGAGAAGATATTATGATTCAATAGGGGAGAAATTAGATATCAGTGAAGTATGGGGTATGATCAGAAAGATGGGTGGTTTTAAAATAAACTTTGGTCTACCTATTCTGGGGAAATAGTGCGACTAATGTAGAAAAGGCAGAAATGTTAGCAGAGGTGTTTGAATACACCGTAATGATAACATAACAGAAGAAATTAAAATAAATAGAGAACCAAGTAAAAAGGATAATCCAAATATTATGATGGAGAAAAGGCCTTCTAATGACCATCCTGATATGGAATTTACATTACATTAATTAAAGAGCTGTTGGGGGAGTTAAGCAAACATTTCCCCCAACGGCTGATGCTTCACACTCCAGTCCAGTTGGTGGCGGAAATACACCATAAGTTGGCTTGTCAACAGCCATTAAACGGTACAATAAGAAGAAAATACTGTTGAAAGTAGGCTGGGTTTGCCAATCCGCCAAAAACTCGAGAGAAGAAGAAGAAGAAGGAAGTTATATAATAAGTATGGGAAAAGGGACAATTACCTAGTTGCTGGAAAGAAGCTGTAGTAGTTCCAATACGTAAAGCTGGGAAAGAAGGTAAAAGTCCAAGTGATTACAGGCCAATTTCTCTTACTTCACACTTATGTAAGGTAATGGGAAAAATTATAAATCAGAGACTAACATATTTTATGGAAACTAAAGGGAATATTTGTAATTATCAAAGTGGATTTAGAAAAGGTAGATGTACTATGGACCCTACAGTATGTTTGGAACATGAAATACGAAGAGCTCAGGCTAATAGAGAAAGTGTAGTGGCAGTATTTTTTGACATCGAGAAAGCTTATGATATGATGTGGAAAGAAGGGTTAATAATTAAATTGAGAAAAGCAGGAGTTAAAGGAAAAATGATAAGATGGATTAAAGGTTTTCTATTTGGAAGATCTATTCAAGTAAAGATTGGGAAAGAATTTTCAGAGATAATAAAGGTAGAAAATGGAACACCACAAGGGAGTATAATTAGTCCTTTATTATTTTCTATTATGGTTAATGATGTGTTTTTAAGTGTTGAAAAAGGAATAGGAATTTCTCTTTATGCAGATGATGGTGCAATCTGGAAACAAGGGAGGAATTTAGAGTTTGTTGTAAGGAAAGTGCAAGAAGCAATCACAGAAGTAGAAAGGTGGTCATATAAGTGGGGTTTTAGATTATCTGTTGAAAAAACTAAAAATGTATTATTTTCAAAATGTAGGATTAGTAAAGAGGTAAAATTGAAATTATATGGTCAAGATATAGAAAGAGTATCATGTTTTAAATTTTTGGGTATATGGTTTGATGAAAAACTCACGTTTAAAATACACATTAAAAAAATAGTTGATAAATGTAAAAGGGTAATGAATGTTATGAGATGTTTAGTGGGGAAAGAATGGGGGGCTGAGAGGATGGCTCTAAGAAGTATATATACGGGTTTGATACGATCTGTATTTGATTATGGGAGTATAGTGTATCAATCTGCTGCTAATAGTGTGTTAAAAGAGGTGGACAAAATCCAGTACAAGGCATTAAGATTATGTACGGGGGCGATGAGATCTACACCAACTGCAGCCTTGCAGATTGAAATGGGAGAAATGCCTTTAGATCTTAGAAGAATTGAACTGTCACTAAGATATTGGGTCAATATATTAGGACATAGTCAAGAACACCCAGCTAGGGTAGTTCTAAAACCTTTCTGGGAAAAAGGAAAGAAAGAAATCAAAAGTTTTGGATGGGAAGTGCCTAGAGTGGTAAAAGAAATGGAAATTGGTGAAACTCCAATAAGCCCTACAGTTCCGTGGTCAACAATCCCTCTGTGGTTAATATCTCAACCTACGGTAGATATGACATTGTTAAGTGAGGAAAATAAGGATAAGTTCAAAACAAATGTTCAAATAGCATATAAGTACATTCATGAAAATTATCATGGTTATGTTCAGATATATTCTGATGCATCGAAAAATATGGAAGACAAAGTAGGTGTGGCATTCAGTATCCCAGAATTTAATGTCAAAGTCAGTAAAAGAATCACAGATAATTTGTCAATTTACACTGGTGAAATGATTGCAATTTTACTGGCATTGCAATGGGTGGAGGAAAATAAGCCAATGCGGACACTCATATGTTCTGATTCAAGTTCATCTTTAATTACAATTAAAACATGTCATTCAGAGAGCAGAGCAGATATAATGATTGAGATTCTTCAAACAATATATAGGATCCAGATGATGGGAATTTATGTATCTTTCTGTTGGGTACCAGCGCATGTGGGAGTAAAAGGAAATGAGTTAGCAGACGGATATCCAAAGGAAGCAACAAAGAAAGTAGACATAGATATATAAAAGTTGTATGCCATCCGCCATTAAACACCAAGAAGAAGAAGAAGAAGAAGGAAGTAGGCTGTTCTCGCTGACTCGCTCTGTAGTTTAATGTAAACTGAACATGTCGAGGGGTGAGTACCCAATTTCCATAAACGGCACAAAGCAAATATATCTCCTCTGTGTTTCGTCGTTTAAGTACTTTTTATTTTAATTTTCAGGTCAAATCATTGGGATTACAGCTGGGGCTGCTGGTAAGTGTACTATAGCAAAGACCAGCAAATAATCTAGGCCCGTTTAAATGTGTTTGAGCAAGATTAAAAGAATAGTTAACCCAAAAATGAAAATTTACTCGCCCTCAGGCCATCCAAGATGTAGATGAGTTTGTTTTTTTCATCGGAACAGAGTTGGAGAAATGTAGCATGACATCAACCTTTAGGGGGGGGGAAATGAAGAGCGTCAGAATGAGTTCAGTCAGCTGATATAAACGATAAAAATGTTATGCAAGTAAACCACAAGCTGCATGTTTGTAATAAACAATTCTATTATAAAGAATTTTTTTTCAATCTGTTGTTTCCGTGTAAATTAGCCGTCCTCTATCCATAATATTGCCTTATCCAGTGAAAAATGGAAAAAAAGTGTCTAGTCTGAATCAGCAGAGAAATATGCACAGATCAAGCACCATTTACAAGCGGAAACTGATCTAAACAAATCTGTTGGTGGATTTTGATGTGAGAGGACAACAGGGGTTGGACTTTTTCACTGGAGAAAGCAGGATTATGGACTGATTTTGGCCAGAAGGGACATTTAAAAGTTTCTTACAAACATTCTTACGTTTGTTTCTTGCAGACATGCAGCTTTTCACTTCACACGACATTAGCTGATGGACTGAAGTAGTGTCGATTATTTGGATTATTGTGATTTTTTTTTTGTGTAATCATCTGTTTGGACTCTCATTTTGACGGCTACACCTGTTCTCTGTGTCATTCCGATTCATTTATTGCTGTTATAAGGCTTTTTGTGTTTTGTGTTCTGACAAGTACCTCTCACTGATCTCTATCCACCTTATTCCTATGCCCCATGACCCTTTTTCGCGAATTATGGGTGTAACTTCTGTTAAGCTGTAAGCAATCAGTAAAAGACTCGCTTTATGAACGTAATAAGTTTTTTTTTTTTTTTTTACTGGGTACAATGAGATGACATTATTCTACTCACACTTCAACCATCGAACATTAAAATGACATAAAAGCATAAACAAGGTACTTTCAACAGACCATGAATAACCCCAAAAGCCCGATCCCTTCCACAGTAATAACGGACGGGTGAAATATCACTGTAGTAATATTTGTAGTATGTAATATATGTTGCCTTAATCAAAAATGTTAATTAACCTTAGCATTGTGTGATACCATTTCAAAGTGATTTTCGTCATTTTGGCAGATAATAAATTGTATTTACCTGTGAAAACAAACAAACCTGGATAGAGACGTGAGGATTTGAGGAGAAAAACCAGAGATTCTTCATGCCTTCCAGTGAATTGGGATATATCGTAAATTAAATCTGGAGAACAGGCCACAAATGGGCAGTACATGTTTTCCTTTCCTTTCCTTTTTCATACTATTACAGTGGAATGCAAAAGGAAAAAAAAGAAAATGATCATGAGGAAAAGAATGCAGCGACTGAAAAGAGCTCTTGCCATCGATATTCTTATAACATGTCACGTTAAAAGACCAAGCGTTACGTTATTCTCATGATGTCTGAAAGTAAAACATGAAGGAAAATTGACAGCTCATTCAGTCAAACAGACGGATAAGCTTTATTTGTAGAACCTTATGATTTGAAATGATTAATTTCAGTCTTTTTGAATGAAAGTTCCCCAAGTGCCACCCATAATTCAAAACACAGTAGGCCCATCAGAAATACAGTGGATACTGTGGCATTACAAAGGAAAGTCTCTGTTATTGTGGGAGACTCTTCCCATCCCCTGCATAGTTCTTTTCAGTTACATCCATCCGGCAGACAGGATAAAGTGCCTTTGGTGAAAAATGCCAAGTATAAGAAGACCTTTATCCCAACTGCCATTGGTATTTTAAATAGGCTCTTAAAGGTTATTGTTTTTTTGAATGATGTATGTATTGTTAACTTTAGTTGTGATCAATCATTTGTGTTGTTGTTTGAGCCTTTGTCTAAAGACGATTTTCTACCCCATTGGGGATAGACAATAAAGCTTTTTTTAATTTGAATTTGAATTTTTTCAGGTGCTGCTGGTATGTCTGCAACCGCAGCAGCTGGTGTGGCATCTGTGGGCGGTGCTGCAGGAGCTCTAATAAGTGGAGCAGTTGGTTTCTGGAAGAGGAAATAAGTAATGTACTGGAGTCCAAAGAGCTTCTGTTCACAGCCGGCTGCCATGAAAGGAGTTTAGCAGCAGCCACTGTGTGTTTAAAGTAATTGTCTGTAGCTTGATTGTAAACAATTTATAACATTTTGAAAATAAGAATGTAAGCACCCAAAACTTTAGAGATATCGAAAAATCTGTGATTTTTTTCATTTGGCACTTTGTAACTAAAATTATGCGGTGATTCTATGCTAGAAGTCACACTAAAATGTTTTTTTGTTTTTTTTTTTTGTGGTCAAAAAAATGTGGTCTGTGTTTAAATGTATCTTCTTAAAGCACTTTTACATTGTGTTTACATCCTGTGCAGAATTATTCATACTCACTGTTTTTCATAGATTGCGAAAATGTAACTACTTTAAAACTAATCCATGTAGTAAATTCATGTAGCTAATAATGTGACTTGAAATTTGAATTCTGTCACCGGAATTCTGATTTAATAAAGTAATAAAATAATTGTGAAGCCTGAGAATGAAAAACCAAATAGAGTTTTGTCTTTGTCTTGCTTAAATTTTCTGTGGAAAATGATCTGGTTTACACACAGCTTGCTGTCTGTGAACAAAGAGATGAACAAACAGGCTCACAGTAGCTTATAAAGACAACAGTTAAATTTCAAGGTGACCGAAATCCCAAACCAAATAGAGTTTTGTCTTTGTCTTGCTTAAATTTTCTGTGGAAAATGATCTGGTTTACACACAGCTTGCTGTCTGTGAGCAAAGAGATGAACAAACAGGCTCACAGTAGCTTATAAAGACAACAGTTACATTTCAAGGTGACCGAAATCCCTTGGGTCCTCAGCCTTCGACCAACCAGGAGGCTCCCTGGAGAGTCGCCTCCATCACGCCATGTCATATCTGATGCATATTGCTAACGTTCATAAAAACGTCAAGACTGACATGTATGCACACACCTAGCAAATTCACACTAGCTGAGTGACCCCTTAAAAGTTACACACAAAAAAAAAAACATTTACTTACCAATTGTAAGTCGCTTTGGATAAAAGCGTCTGCTAAATTACTAAATGTAAATGTAATGTAAATGTACTCTCT